GAATGCAGTACTTTGGGATATCTTGCATTATTCCCTACTGCATCGTACACAACATCGATATTCCACTTGTACAGGATCTCTTCCTGTTTGTGTGGATACAGATTGTCCGACAGACTCGCGTCCGGCAGACTTGCGTCAAATCCCGACATCTTGCACGATCAAATTCCGATCGCACGTGTCGAAAACCTCGTACTTGAATAGTTTCGTTTGGAACGTAAAAACTCATATTTCGTCATATCCCAACACATCTTGTGATACATAAATAGGGTTTTCAAGTGATTTGCGTGAATTCCAATTTCTGTATTATACGGTTTGCGAATGTGATTGGAAGTATCAAAGAGATACATGTTCGCCTGATACTTGGGATTTTCACCAGTGTATTCGCAAATGAACTCATCAACAGAGTCTTCAAAGTCCTGAACTGAGTTCCCGTGAGTATCAGAAATTCTCTGATAGGTCATGAGCGGTTCAGCAGTGAGGTATTGCTTGAACAAGGCCTTCTTTTGACGACCCTGATTGAGTCCCCACTCTGAAGCAATGTTACAGAAGGATTGAATGGACCTGAGGAGTGGTTCAACATTCTTTCCACTTGCACCATTGCAAACTTCTTCAACTTTCCGCTTGCGCTCAAAGTTGTGGTCAAAAAAACTGACATACTGCATCACTGGATTAGTGACTTCCCTGGACTTGTATGCCAATGGAGAGTCGCCCTCATTGACAATGATGTTTTGACGGAGCATGTGCGTAGAATCCATCGTAGAAAAAGTACTGTACTGTGAAACTCCAAAGGGTCTAATCTAGTTCCAAGATCACTCCAAGAACTATCTACAATAGGATCGGCTGGCGCTGGCTCCTAGTTTTAGCGCGAACATTCTCTGTTGCCAAGCAGTATCACAACTTTGGAAGAAGCATCGGAAACCATGGCGGAGCAAAGAGAAGGATGCTATCCTCGAGTGAATGGAGAAATGATTCAATCTCAGCAATACAATGGAGCCATTGTCAGCATTGTTGGCAAACTTGTCACCGTGGACACATTGCAAGCATCTGATGGCACGACTGTTTCCGTCGACACATCTCAAATCGAAGGAGGTCTAATTAATAACCCTGACATGGTGGTTGAAATGATCGGCCAAGTCGCTGACGCGACTAATGTTACAGTGAGTATTGTAATACTGTTCATTCTATTCAATGCAATTTGTTGGAGGTCTCACAAAGCTTGTTTCGAATGTAGGGATTCGTCGTGCGAGAGCTTTCCGTGGACACAGACTTGGATTTGTACAACCAATTTCTTGCGCTTCAACATTCTCCGACGTACTCGCAATACTTTCCACAGACGGTAGTAGGTATTTCGAGCAGCTGAGTGCAAACAATCCATCTAAACTCTCTCAATTAGTAACAGATGTAACTTCCTGTAATCTAATCCGAGATTAACTGAGTTTGAACTAGACTAAATTAAGCAATCTCCATGAAAAGAACAACGCAATCTATAAAGCTTCCAAGACTGCCCAGACTATGGTGCATCCTTCCCATCTGTGACGCCAACGTGAGTAACCAACCGACCGTGTGCTCTAGACTTTTCTTTTCGAATGCTGCGCGTTGGGAACTTGGTACTGTACCCGGCACCTTTTACGATGTCATCCTCAGATGGAACAGTAGTTACTGCGGATAGTTTTCTTTCGCTGCATTGCTTCCAGTACCAATTTCAAACAGTACACGAGATTGAAATCGAATTCGAAACTGCTTTTGCCATTACGTCTACAGTATCCTAGACATGAAGAGATGATGTACGGTGGTAGCTGAACAAGGCACATAATATTTGTTCTCTTCTTCTAATGCAGAGTGAAAGAATGCCCCATTTCCGTTTACTTGTTGGTGCAACATTAATGTCACTTACTGACAGAGATGAGCAACGGTTCAACTTCTGATTACTTGCTTGCGCGTTCTAAAAAGACTCTCTTATCAGTGTCTACCTTGATCATTTCACCTTGTTCCAGATACCCAGGGACATTAATGGTTGCTCCACAGCTTAGTGTAGCAGGTTTTGTATATCCTTGAGCAGTATTTCCCTTCACATTGGGTTCAGTTTCAGCGATTTCGTATACCCCAGTTTGGGGAACAACCACTTCGATCACACCATCATTGAAAAAGACAAGTTGGACTTCCATGCCCTCCTCTAACCAGTCCTGCAACTTGTGTGTGAGATTTCGAATCACATCGTCGCATCATGAAAAAAGGATTCTTACCACCACATCACCAACTACTTTGGAATCGACAGCAACTTCTTCAAAAGTTTGGGAGTTCATGAAAAAGAATGCGTTCTGGAGAACCAAACCATTACACAATGAATAGGTTAGACTACCAACGAGTGCATCAATTTTCCCCCTGGTATGGACTCACCCCATCCTCGTATGTGTATTGGTGAGCGCTCTTCTCTATTAAAGCAGTCTCAAACTTCTCTCCGGATCTATAGGTGTTCTCGATTGTGTTGCCCTTGATCAAATTTTTGAATTTGATTGTTGTCTTTGCTGCTCCGCGAGCTTGCTTCATGATGCTGAAGCTTAGGACCTTGTATGGCTCGCCATCCAATTCGACGGTCAATCCATTCTTGATGTCAGAAGTGTCTATGGCGACTCCAAGTGCAGTTCCGCTGCGGTCAAAGCAGGTGTAGGGTGCAAAGCCAGAGACTGAAGCAAAAAAATATAAGCTAAGGAGAGGGCGCAGCATTATTTGATAGTGTCTTTGAACCTGTTTTATTGGATCGCTCAAATTGTTGCTCGTTGTTTCCATCCACAGAAATTTGTTTTGCGTTTCACGTGCAGTCGACCTTTCCCCGTCTGCTATTGGTAGGTGGTCTGCAAAGTGGCTCGTCTTGCACCACTCTTTGATCGGCAAGACGGGAGACGTATGGGCGTTTCTAGCTCTTCCTTAGTCTCAATTTCCGTCGTGTCGATTACGGCGTGTCCGTTAAATTGAGTAGCGAGGAACGAGAGATTTGGGACGAAAACGAGTACGATGACAAACATGGGGATTTTACAAGATGTGTGCGAATCCCTAGGTTAAACTATCTAACGTACGAATGACGGACACTCTCTGGTCCAATTAACGGTCCCCTCAAGGTGATACTGATGTATCAGAGAACCTTGTACTCCGAATTGGGCTAATATCAACCGTACCCCCT